ATGACTCTGTTCATAAGTAGGACTCTTTGAAATCTTCAGGTTTCAGTTCACATCAGGAATTATTGGGACCAGCGGTCAAAGGAAAGTGAACCAAGACAAATTTCATGACAACTGCTGTAAATCTTGGTTTTCTACCATGCCTCCACATGTATGCCTTCTTCAAAAGACATTAATCCCCCAGTCCTCTGAGAGGGAAAGGAGGATAGGAAAAATTATGTTTCCTCTATTTTCTTCCTTAGTCATTTTCACAGGAGAAATCTCTTTCCTCCAGCTACAGGCTGCTTAACATTAGGAAGGAATTGGTCTGTAGGCAGTACCTAGAGCAACTCTTCCCAGCCAGATCATGTTTCCTCTTTCCCTTTTGGTGGAGATAGCTTAGAAACCACTTTCTCAAGGACCATGCCTTAGCTTCCACCTTTGCTTTGAGAGAAATTCTGGTCCTTTGCCTAAGGAAACTCGGGATCTCCTGTGTTCTGAAAGATGGCTTGAGGCGTTAGACTTTCAAAACCACTGCAGACCTATGAAACCACAGAGAACTTTGCTTAAAGTTCCTAATCTCAGTGATACACACACACTCAAGTCCTGACCAAGTACATGGAAGGTTACATCTCTAATACATCTGAAAATTTAGTGTGAAGCCTTAAGATACATGTGTTCACATACCTTTAGATTAGAAAGTAACTTTTTCCTGGTAGCTGAATGAATTCACAGCCTCTCTTAGTGTGGTGAACGTGAATTAATTTCATAGCGCTAAGTTTCATAGAATTAAACTGATTCTAGCATTGCTTGCATATGGCATGCCAGACATTGCCGCATTTTAATCCTCTGCTGTTCATGGAAATAAAGAGCATACGCCTTTATCAATTCCACTAACCCAAGCTAATCTTTGAATGGAATAGTTGTCATTAAGAGACAATATCTATATCCAAAATAAGCAAGTGGATCCATTTCTACTCCATATATTGTTTTAGCTTAGCGGCTCCCTCCCACTAGTTTTCTTTAGATCAACGTGACTCAGAAATGCCTCCGCAAGTACAGTTCTCCCATGCAGACCTACATGCACAAGCAGATACCCTAGAAGATATAAGCGATCCAAAGAGGGGATAGAATGATCAGAGAGGGGAGAAATATTTGAAAAGTCAGAAGAAGATAACAACCTTTTAGGACAGTTCCCACAATTTTGGCAGGTAAACGTGTCTGATATGAGCTCTTCAGTCACGCACAGATAGATGACACATTTGTGTGTGGGCAGAGGATGAAATTGGGTGTGGACTGCGTGCCTGTGCAATGGGTACAGTGATAGGTCTAACTCAGCACTAGCAGCACTGAGTCATCTGTTCAGAGTTCCTCACCATTCCCTTTATGACATGGAAAAATCCTGGCTGGATTGCCTGAAATTTTATCCTCACTGACTGGGGCCCATTCTGAGAGAAATGTCAGTGTCACAGCAGGGTTTCCACATACTCAGAAACCCTCCCCAGAATCCATTGGTTAACACAAAAAGGGATTATATATTCTTACTACAACACTGAGCACTCAGAACAGTTATTTTGTCTCATTCATCCTCTTACAGAATGAGTATAGGTGAAAATATAAAGGCTTTGTAAGTATCTGAAGGATTACTTGAAAGATTGAGCTCAGAAGCAATTGGAAAACCAAAGCATCTAAAAGTATGGAAGTGTGCAGAAAGAAAGCAATATCTAACTTTGTGCAATGATTGCTACAATCAGTGAAGATACTTTGCTTACAGTGATCAAACAGCTCTATATTCTGAAATCATGCTCAGCATCAGTTTCACATTATCTTTTGTGCATCTTTTCTACACAACTTGGTAAATTATCTACATGCCGGTGAACATGAAAGCATGATTTCAGACAGGTACTCCCTTATCCTCAAAACAGAAACAAAACTGTGGCCAATTTTAACAGCCTGAGCCAAAGAAAACCTCAGGAAATCTTATGAAGTGACAATGTCACAGAATAACACTATAAGGAAGACAGCTGATGTTGCTTTACTTCTCATACCGTCAGGCAGACTATGGTATATACCTGGTCCAAATAAATATTCCTGATGTAGCAAGGAAGGAACAAAAATGTTGTTACTGCATAATTTCCAGATGTAGGTCTTGACCACTTGACACAGGAAGTCAAGTGTGAAGCAGTATAGAAGAATAATGAACTGCAGCAGAATTATATTACCCACACCACTAACAACGGGGTTGGGGGGGGGGGGGGGGGAAGGTGTTGCTTGTTAGAATAGGTGTTGCTTTCTACTCTCCCCCCAGCAGATTAAGCATGTATGTTCCACGGCAAGACAGATTGGAGGGGGTAAGCAACAGGAGCAGTGGCTAAAAGGAGAGTAGGGACTAGTCCCCTCTAGCCAAGAAGCAACTGACTAAATGTGCCAAGAGCAGGGCTCTAGGCTGGCCATCAAACAGCTTTCTGTCCACTCCTCCTGCTGTCCCTCAGAAGCAGCTTCTGCATCAGTAAAATATTTCATATCTGATTCCCTATACAATACTGGTGTCCAGCTCCTCTTGACATCTGGCTTTGTAGTAATCTCAATCAGTAATCAAGAGAACGGTTTGTCTGTTGAAGAAAGTGCGCAAAACGCTGGGTAACCCAGGGCTACACACCAACAAGATCTGCATTTGCTTGTCTTGTACTTCAAGAGCAGATGGCATTCAATATACTGAAGGGGGTAAGTCAAATGTTAAGACAAAATACTTTCTAGGAGAAGGCAAAGTTGAAAACCACTTGTCAAAGTATGCCACAAAACCAAACAATTTAACATATCAAAAAAGAATAGGATAACTGTATGGCTAGGAATGTTCTCATGTGTTACATTAAAATATTTCTAAAAATAATTAAAGAAATAGTGAAACAAATTTTCTGTTAGAGCTTAGTGAGAATGACAGAATATCTCCTTCCTGCTTAATACAAGTTTTCTTTTTCTTTTCTCTGAAACAACTGGAGACCACCACCATCAGGAGACAGGGAATTGGACTGGATGAACTCTCTGAATCTAACATAATCACAGTTTCTATTCTCCCTAAAAAGCATGATCAAATGATTAATAAAGAGAGTGTGCCATAACTGAGACATAGGCTGATCCCAGAAAGTGAGTCAAACCTGAAAGTTCACCAGCACAGATTGTCATATCAATATCAAAGATCAATTTGGTCAGAAGGTTCCCGAAACAGAAGTCAGGGTGAATGACTAAAATCTGGGTAGACAAGATCCTGCAGCAGCCATCAGATAAAATCAGTTAAAAATGCAGTTTGTCATGGAAGTCAGCCAACTAGCTGCATGTCCCAACAATGGCACCCCCAAAAATGCAAACAGCAGCTGCATGTAAATAGAGAATTCAGTTCTTCCCATACACCCTGGTTGCTTCTTATTAGTATCAAGCAAACACATATTACCATTGTTTGTAGAGATCTGACAACAGCAGCCCAAGCAATGTCTCAGGGTTTCCTTGTGCCCCCCAGGCTCTCTGTGTCCTCCACTGTCTTTACACAGCAGCTGGACCATAAACTTACTGCAAAGAGAGCTGCCTGTTGTTCTGTTTGCAAAAAATGTGAGTGACAACAGCAATAGGAAAAATAAATACAAATGGTATTACATACACATGCAAACATCCCCATGTTTGGGGGTATTCAGCCATAAGGTAAATACCAAAATTTTTCTTGACACCTAGATATTTATAAAATCAAAGAGACCTACAAATAGAATAAAAAAAAAAAAACAAACAAACAAAACCCACAAACCCAACACTTATCCTTGCCAAGACCTTCTCCCAGAGTGGACAGCCCCAGGGGCCAAGATCTCAGCTCTGCTCCAAGCTGCAGCGGTACCTTCACAATGGGGAATTCCCAAAACAGAAAAGATACCCCAGAGCCACAAAACGAACAGATTTGGCTCCCGTGCAAGACTTCCTCTAGCTGTCAAGGCAAGAAGTGTGTCATGGTTGAAAAACCCTCTGTGTTCTGGCTACTCCCCACTGGAGATATGGTGGGCTGAGACAAGAGGATCTTGAGGGCTCTGCTGAGCATCCCTGGCCTGAGATCAGAAACATGCATCCAGCCCCATCTCATCCACTCCAGTGGCATCCAGAACTGCATGATATTGCAGACAAGGTCTTTTATCAGTCTCTATAAGCCTTCTACCACCTTTTAGGCAGTAATGCTTTTATGGCATTACTCATTAATAGTTCACCTGTTGCTTTGCTGGATGAACTCCTTGCCACCATTCCCCTCCCATCAGAGCCATACCTGTGGAAGATATCATTTGTTTTCAAGGTGCAAGAAAAATCCTTTTAGGGCCAGCACCTTGCTGGAGGTCATAAATATGCAAATTGAAGCATTAAACAAGTCACTGTATCACTAATGTTGTATTTGCAAATGATGGGTTAAGCCCTCAGGAGGGGAGGTTTTACCTGTTGATGTAAGAGTGAGTAGAGATGTTATTTGCAAACTATTCTTGACCAGTATAAGCCTAGGTTTTAAAAAGTCCCGTGTGGTTAAACAATGACTCATGGCTGATCCCTATCTTGCCTGTCAACATTCACCGTTGCTTTATATCTGTATCATTGCTACAGCACAGCAGAAGACCATGAAAAGGGGCGGAAATAAAAAGCATTCATTTACAACGCATCACCAGTCACTCAGTTTCTGTGCAAAACAGAAAATACTGAGGTAGTGAATATTTAATGGCTTCTTGGAATAAAATTTAAAAAGAATTCAAGTCTTGAGTTTTTACCACCTGCAAAAGAAGAACTAATTAGAGGAGCACAAGCAGAACATTAAAAAGGTCTTTCAGAAACCTCCATTGGGTTCATTTTCATCCAAGTCTATTCAAAACAGTTCATGTATACTTAAATGCACATGCCTACACATGTGTATAAAAATACAGTGCAGCATCCCTCTATGGTGGCCTCCTTTGAAATATAGCATAATTCTGAAATCATTCAAGACAGTTGAGAAACAGACCCAGCCTTACCTTCCTAATTGCCAGCTTCTCTTCACCCTTTGAAACTGAATCCTCATTTCTGTCTCTATGGTGACAATGACGTCCAGGTCCCCTTGATGAGAAGGCTGCTGGCACACGTCAGGTGCCAGAGCACATCAGCACCACAAGCCTCTCCAGCTCCTCTGTGGGACACTATGCTTTTCTCCAAAACTGCATCTAAGAAATGATAAGATAAAGAAAACGGTGTTAGACCACCATTCCATGCCTAAAGAGAAGGAAACTGGGTCTAAATACAGGGTCTAAAAGCTTTTTTTATTTTTCTCTTCCATAATAATTGCTGCTACTCCAGAAATCAATGTGATGGCACTGCTATCAAAGAGCGTATCTGGATAACTTACACGGAATGAAATAATTACAGGTAATTTCTCCCAGAGGGTTTGACAATGAGAAGATGTTTGCATCATAAAGTAGAAGTAGCTGATAAGCAGCATGATTAAAACCTCCTACAATGTCCATCCACCTGCACATGGAACCAGCAGTGACAGAAAGATATTTCTTGGCTCCTGGTTAGTGGAGAGAGGAGCAGGAGGGAAGATTTTTATCAAGTGCTCAGTAAGGAACAGCAGGTGGGACCTGTAAAGGTGCACCTTTCCCTCCTTCGGAAAGACACATTGAGTCACTGGGGTTACAAAACACCAGCTATTATATATAGTCCTAGTTATTTTTTTATGATGTATATATCTAGCTGTTGTATAATGCCAAAACGCACCTCCATTGTAACATGCATTCTTGTAGCAGCTTATAGGCACAGCAGAAGATGTGCAGCCCTCACTAGTGCTTTCCCTCTGGTTTCCTGAATCAGGGGAGATGTGCTAGGGTAACAGATTTGACTTTCTGCCACAGTCCACTGCCAGCACAAGTTGATACTGCACACCCTGTAGATGCTCTAGATTGTCTGTTTTTTACTGACCTTTCATGAGTTTGCAGGTGAAGGTGTCTGGTACAGTTTTGCATCACTGCAAGGAGAAGAAATGAAGTCCCTTAGTGCTTGTAGCAGCAGGTCTTGCCCGAAGAATTTAACTGTGTGTGATACACCACTGCAATCAGTTCCCTTGTGATTCCTCTCCTATAAAGTCACATGCTCAGTGAAATAAAGACACAGATTTGTTCTGCATTTCCCTTAAGTTTCCACATCCTTTTTCACTAGTCAGCCAAAATATATATAACCCATCATTTTAAGATGAAGGTTTTAATATCCAAGCAGACATTAAGTACAATTCAGAAAAGGCATAATAACAACAGTATATTACCAAAACTTGCATTGCTTTAAATACATGTTAAAAATCTAGCCACAGACTGGGTTACTGATGCGCCATACCTACTGCATGGAGATTTTTTTTCCTGTGTTCTTTTCTTGATCCTTATTCATCTCTTTTCTAACACTTGGGCTGTAAATGCTTGGTGCTCTATGTCCTGCCCTTCTCATGCTGGGTTCCTGGCCTTCACCTGAAGCCTTAGATGTTACAAAAAAAAAGCAGTTTGAGAGGAAACACAAAAATATCTAAAACGAGACAGTAGTACAGGACTTAGTCATGTGTATAACCCCTGAGAAGTGAGGACTGCACCCAAATGATGCAATGCCTCAGTCTACATAGTTGGTAACACAGAGATCATCTTTTCATCCAGAGATAGTTTTCTCTGTTTTTTTTTCTCCTCACAGGAGCACCAGCTATAGGTGCACAGCAGAAGCCAATAGATTTGCCTTTAAAAAACCACAACAGAAGCACAGATGAAGAACTGAGTCTCCTAGTTCATACATAATTAATTTCTATTTCATGGCAAAGTGATACAGAAAATATCCCTCAGACAAACCACAGGATGCAGAAGTCACCAGATTAAGAAGGTGTCATGGTTTAAACCACGGATGGAGTTGATTTTCTTCATAGTAGCCGGCAAAATACTGTGTTTTGGCTTTAGTCTAAAAATAATGCTGATAACACACCAATGTTGTATGTCCTAATCTCAGCAGAGTTGCACAGGTGTGCAAGTTCCTTTCCATCAAGAACTTACAGCCAGCCCCAACAAGGCAACCAGGAGAAACAGACCAGCAAAGGTGATGCTGACAAGCCCATAAGTCAACAAGCATTGGAAACACCCAGGAATCAGAGATGTAATTTAAAGCATTCCTTCTCCAGTCTTCATAGATGTCTAACAGCGAAAGTTGGCCACAGCGTGCAGCAGCATCAAGGTGACAGTCCCCAGATTAACTCCGTGGTAAAACCAGGTTACAGTCAAGGTCAGAGTATCACAGAGATCAGTCTCCAAGGTTTAGCCTGTAGCTCACATGAAATTTTAACAAGAAAAGCACAATCAGAAGAGGAACAGGCTTTAAAATAACTAACATAAAAGATAAATAAAAGCTTCTCTCAGAACATAGGACCATTGAATGGTTTGGTTGGAAGGAACCTTAAACATCATCTAGTTCCAACTCCCCCCCCCCCCCCCCAAGTAGCTCAAACTCCCATCCAACCTGGCCTTGAACACTTGTAGGATTGGTCACCACCATTTCTCTGGGCAACCCTGTTCCAGCGCCTCACCATCCTCACAGTAGAGGAATTCTTCATTACATCTGATCTAAATCCACCCTCTTCCAGTTTAAAGTCATTATCCCTTGTCCTATCCCTACCTGTGCTTCTAAAAAGCCCCTTTCAGATTTCTCAAACAATAGCTTTGATTACAATAATTTTGGATCTGGTAACAACCACCGACATGTGTGCATGAACACCATAAAAGCAAAACGAAATTTAAAGGGGTCTTCTATCTAAGCTTATTGAGGCTACAAAGTGATCTTTCAAAGAGATTGTTTTCTTCCTACCCCACACCATGCAGGATCCCATCAACCTTGTAAGTACAGCACATATACCCTTCTCACTCTATATCCATCTATTATATTTCACAATCATTTAACATTATGTTAGTTACATTTCATCTATCCAAGGAATATACATCTCAGAACAATAATACATGTGGTAGGCATTTCACATCTCATGCTACAACCAATTACAGCTTCAAGAGTTAATTTTTCTTTCTGTGGCCGTACCTGTTGGGACAAAGAGTGTGACTTTTAGGATTTTCTCATCTAGGGGAAAAAAAAAAAGAGCCACCAACCTCCCTTTCCCTCAAAACCCCCTTCCCTCCCCACCCCTCAATAAAGGAGGTAGGAAAAAGAGAAGGGAATCCCTGTTGCTACTGAGCCAGGTCAGGGTGGGGTTTTCACAGAACAAGTTCTCTGGCATTTTGCTGTTTTCATGTTTTTAAATTTCTAATGGCAACTGTTTAACACATTTCTAATTGGAAATGCACAGTAATGACTAAAATAGGAGGTTTTCATATAAAAAAAAGCTATAATTATGTCTTTTGCTTTGTTTGACAAAGCTATGATTTTTACCAAAACACATGACCAGCCCTCGGGTGGTCTATTCATAGCAAACAATGTATTGTCCTGGGCACACAAGAAGAAAGAAAAGATGTTTTTTAATTGAGCCTCAGACTTCATTTACTTAACTTTTATGGAAACTACCAGTAATAACTCGTAGAGGGCACACCATTATTTCTTCTTTCATCAACTCTACATGATCAAATGCTACTACTATCGGCAGCTTTTTTCTCATGTACTCAGTTATGTTCACCACTGGGACACTACAATCCTCTTTGTATAAGGGTTAAAAAGCCAGAGGGATGAGATGGTTTCTTCACTACATCTGACAAAGAAATACCCAAAATCCATTGCCAGGTTTACCAAGAGATTTCTTTCTTGAAGTTTACTTTTAATTCTTAAGCCACAGATGGCATGGTTGCTTTACTCCTTACCCCACGAACCCAAATAAAGCACAAAAAAAGATGGCAAACTACTTTCCTGAGACTAGGTAAAAAAAGCCATCTCTACAATCAGAAAACAGTACTTTTTTTCCTTGATAGCTTTGAGATTAGACATAATATCATGAAACTAGTGAGTGATTTTTGACCATTCCCAGAGTCAAAAATCTTTAGAAGTGCCCATCCAAAGTTGCTGAGACCAGCCTGGCACAAAGTCACTTCAAAGCTGTTAACTGAAAATGGAATTTCCATAACAGGAGTGTCTGAAGACATCTGCTGTTGAGGTTACCAGTTTGAGGAAATTCTGTTCATTTATTGGCCATGGATTGGCCATGTCTGTTGAGCAGAAAACTGGTCAAGAGAGACAAACAGGGGGTCTCTGGGCATGGGACTTTTTAGTGAATAGTCCGTTTCTATGGAATGTAAGAACAAAGTGAGATGGAGCAAGTGGGCATGCCAAGCGGAGCAGCTTTCCAAGCAGGCCACCACCTGTTTGCTCTGCTTCTCTGGAGACTCCACCAGCTCCTAGGATCACTTTAAAACCATTCCCATGTTCTCCAGCTGCCCCCATCTTTACACTCACAAACCATATTGTGCAACTGTTGCATCACCCACCTGAACAGAACAATTGCAGGTCATGTCTCCCTTGAGCAGAAAGCAAGTTGGTTCTGTCCATCTCATCCAAAAGCCATGCTCTCCTCAGTTTGAGTCTGCAGAACCAGGACACCCAAGACAGCCTGTTTATCCTACCTGCAGCAGCATATATCCACTGTGAAGCACCCTCTCCAGCAATGCTTGTGTATTTCTGCCTTGAAAATAAGTTTGCTCACTCTGTACACCTGCCAGCACACCATGTAACCAGCATGCAACCAATATAGACATTCAGAGACTCTGGGACTCAAGCCTTAACTCAAATTCGTAGTCAATCTGACAGAATTGATAGCCCACAGCTTCCAGCATCATGATCACTGTAGTTGTTCACCAACGGTTTCATACCTGCCAAGTGTGCCTACATTTCACAGAATAAACTGAGAACAAGCACATGTAGCCACACAATTGTGCCTGCCCCTTAAGGATTCTCAGATGTAACACATTTTCCCATTTACATTTTCCCATTCCATTAACGTTATTGAAGAAACATTTCATTTTCAGTTGTATTTTCAGAAGGCTAACAAGGGGCTCATGAATACATCAAAGCAAAGTCATATTATTCATTTACACAAATGTTTCTGATTATTTTTTTCTCCGACCACTCAGACAACACTTTATTAAAAAGCTAGAAGAAAAATCTAGTGTTTTTCAGAACCACCTCTCATAACCCTAGGTCCTGGTTTATTTCCACATTTGCAGAACATCCACAGGATGTGAAATGAAGGCACAGGTACTAGCTCTCCACAAACCTGGAGTGTCCCAGAAAACCACCTTCCAGCTGAGAGGGAACTGTCTCCAGCAAATACAATAAGCTATGAAAACAGTGGGAAGTGTACTATTCTACACGCATTGAAAATATGCTCCCTTAAGAGTCTTGCACAAACTACACCTTTGGTTGACTTCTGAATAGAGTCTCCAGGTGGTTAAAGGGCTGATATTGCATTATTTATGGTGACTGAAACGCCATAGTAGTGCTTAACAATAGAATTTACACAAAGTCACTTGATGGAAAGAAATACAGGGTGGGGAGAGGAGGTTGTTTACAAAACAAGTTACAGTAATAAAGCTGCTAGGCTGAGCCAAGAGACCTCTTAGTAAATCATTTATTCCACAGTTTGACAATATTTACAAAGGTTTTTACATGAATTATTTACTCAAGCTTTTATAACTTGTAACGTACTGTACACAAAACAGCAAAAACACATTAGAGCTACAAACCTGGGAACATACAGTTATGCAGTGACAGATGGTGGAAAGGCTTCTGACAAAGGGAAGTTTACAGCTAACGCAAGCAACAGCCTTTTCTATCTGTCATCAATAAAGGGATGAGGACTAGCAGGAAAATGTGATTCAAGGAAACAAGACAATTTTTCAAAAGCTACATTCTTTGTGATTGCTGGATTTGGTTATTTAAAAATAAGTCTTTTGTTTTGAGTGTCTAATTCTAAGAATTGCCATTTCAGTGAGTTACCACCCACCCGTGAAAGGCTGTATGGCACAAAAGCCAGAGCTTACATGAAAGAAACCCCAAAATTCTGCTGCTTACTCTGTTAGGTCAGCTTAAGTATTACTGTATATGTATCTAACAAGCCTGCCCAGAGATGCCAAGAGTGTTAGTGACTATGCCAGGAAGTGAACTAAAATGGGATGGAGGGAAGAAGGGAGGGATGCAGAACAGAGACAAGCAGAATACCTGGGGTGCAACAAAGGCCCTTCAGCACCAGTTCGTGGAGCTCTATTGAACTGGCTCTTACATTCCCATCTTTTACTGTCCAGCACTAGTGAACAGAACAATGGCTGTCAACATCAGTCACTTCACACTGTGAAAAGGGATCCCAGATAATTTCAACCTGCCTTCCTTCTGCCAAAAAAATTAAAGCACAAGAATCCCCCCTACTGAGTGAAGTAGAAAATTTGCTAAATTTACACTTCAATCTTTCTTCCATAACCTTCAAACTCATGCAACACACCACCACCTTCACACTACTCCCTGATGGAAAACAAAAGGTATCCCCACACTTGGTCTTATAGCACAGGCGAATGTAGAGCTATAATGAAGAACTATCCCTAGAGGAGATTGAAGCCTGTACTGACAAAGCATCATCATGCATCCTCTTCTCATCTGTCATTCAGGTTGAGATGTGACATACAAGGGATCTTTTCCTTCTTGTGGACTTGAGAGCTAGCAGGTGTTTAAGATAACAGGCAGACTGTAAGGATGAACTCTGTGCTGCTGGGATTGCTAAAACCCTGGCATGAAACCTAAAAGCTGGGACTTGAACAAGACCCAAAGGAAACCTTCACCCATGCAGGCAGTACAGCTGAAGCTACAACTATCAACAGCAATAAACCAGGGAGATATCTGTGCCCAGAATTCTGGAAATGCCTAGAAGTGACATTCAGAAGGAGGGAGGAGGAGTACCACACTGATGTCCCATACAGAACTCACAGCAAGGTACTTTTGCCTCCTTCTTTGCAGGGCAAAGGCTAGGCACATCGCCCATCAGTTGCCATATATCAGTTGTAAGCCCTCTTACAGAAACTCCAAGGCATCTACTCTTAAAAAAGACACGAAGAAAGAATAGAGTCATCTAGATTCAACTGGTGAGGAGACCTCTCCATTTTTTTCTTGAAGCTACTTGATTTTTCATTTCAGAACAACTTTAAGATCTTTTTTGCTCCCTGTGGAGAAAAACAAGGACAAAAAAATGGCTGATGTTAGCTCACTTTCCCCAAAAGAATAGCATATTAGGACTTTTTTTTTTTCACCAGATTACCACCCTCAAGATTTTGATCTGAACAAATGATCTAAGGTTTCAAAGAATAAAGCAGAATTCACCAGGACCATCCAACCTCGAGCAAAACCAACAGATTCAGGTGGAAATTTTAATTATAGAAGACATCAAACCAAAGTAACAACTGTAGTAGAAATGCAAAGGACTCTGTCTAGCTGAATTATGAAATTAGGATGGACATAGCGTGAGTCACTAAGCCATAGTAACTTGAGTCACTAAGCCATAGTAACTCCAGTCACTAGCTAAAATTCACAAGCTTTACTTAAGTTTTCCTTCAGGTCCTATAGGCCTAATAACACTGGATTTATATTTTTTTTTTCCTCCTTTTTTGATACTTCCAATTCGATTTTCCTCCTCGTGGTTTGAGGATCATTCCCTGAAGGCAGACATATACCCTTTCCCTTGTTAATCACTTTTGAAATACTGCTGCTATTGTCAGGAGCTATTGTATTGATTGAATCTGTCTAGAGTCCATTCATGATATCTGGTGGACATGTGCCCCTTAGAGAAGTTACTATTCCTGGGTGCTGCTCATCTCTGTAATGGAGAGAGATATTACTCTGATTTGTATCTAGTCAAAACATCCACATCACAAGACAGCAGAAGGACCTGAAACTTTAATTATTTCAATGGAAGCTGCAGGTGGTCTCCACTGACTTCTAAGTGAGGTAGGGCAGGTAGTGACATGTACTCACACATCACATGACAATGAGTTATACAACAAGACAGAGCTCTCCAAATGCTCCTTTGGTGTCAAGACAAGCCTCAGATCATTGCTTTTGTGTTCATAAGTGCCTCCAAAGATTGAGGATATCTGTGGAAAGAGGGTATTGTTAAGTTCTAAAACAGTGGGTGTACAAGAAACATGATACAAATTTAGTTAATATCATACTAACTAGTGTAAAAAATCTGCCTGTCTGAAACTGAATTTGCACCAAAAGAAATTCTTTCCCAGTGACTGTACCATAGGCTGAAAACACAGCTAGAGACCCAATGAGAAATTAATTTGTTTATTTCCTATAAATTAACATCTATTCACATGTGCATTCCAGATAATGCCCCTAGTGCTCCTGGTAGTATAACACACTCACAAGATTGGTTACAAGGACATCCTTCATGACAGGGGCTATCTTTTACTATTATAAAAGTGCAGAAGCCAGCATCCCTGTTTCAGCATGAGTACCCAGGTACTTCTATATTCAAGTAATTAGTTGTTACAACAGGCCCTAAACCAACATAGACTCAAATAGTAATAGTTCACAGTACCCAACTGTTCTAAAGTGACCTAGGGTAGGAGTTGGCAAACTGTATTTTTGATTGTTGGCATGTTAGAGACAGTTTGTTTAAAGAGAAACCAGATTTAAGTGTTACACTTCACATAAAGGCCTTTATTCTCCCAAATTGCACTGCAAGTGTGTGTTAATCTCAGTGCGGTTGGAAAAAAAGGCATTCTCAAAGAGATTTTAATCCTGTAAATAATGGTTTCATTAAGAACCATACACAACTCCACAGGGAACTCTAAATATTAAGCCTGGTAATAAAATCATTAGTTGTTCCAAATTATTCAGCATATCATGGAGCCCTAAAAAGTTAATGACAGTTAGTTAAGAGCCAGCTACAGATGGACCAAACACTAGCCGGTTCGTTTAAAATTGGGTTGGAAATTGTACTTCACACTGTGTGGGAACAATCCTCAACAACAGGGCAATGAACTCAGATACTTAAAAGAGCCTTTTTGATCACTAATTTCTAGTCACAGTCATAAATTTTTTTGTGAGGTCAAGAGTTAAGGTTTTTTTGAATGCATAACAATGACTAATAAAAACCTTACAAGAGCACTGCAATCATTAAAAATAAAACAAGTGGTTTGGGCTCCAGATTTCAAACCTTCCAAATTTCCTAGAACATGGTCCAGGTAACTTGGAAGTTCAAAGCAATCACTTTTTTCTCCTGGTCTGAAACAAAATTTTGCCTATGTATGTATGTGTTGTGTATACATATATGTAGGTAAATCAAAATTGTCTGGACACAAGAGCTTCCAGATACCTTGACTCCTGTCCGAAGTGCTATTTTGGCATATGTTCAGGTGCAATGTAGGCATCCGAATCGCCCACTAAACTCATCCTGAACAGCAGAACAATCTTGGTTCTGAGGCTCAGCCATAGAGGTCCATGCATACCACAGCTCTGCCATCAGGGTACCAGGCAGGGGAGGGATCCTTTTCCCAGCTTGACCCCGCTCCAGGGGTATCAGGCATGCTGTGCCAGTCCCAGCAGCAGCCGCTCCCCATGGAGCCTTGCATCTCACAGGGGTAGGTAGGCAGCAAGCCAGCACAGCTGCTGCCCTGCATCCTGCTGCTCCTGTGCACTGCCAGTCCCCCTCACACCTGCCACCCACCACTGCCAGCAAGGGAACCGGGAGGTTGCCCCGAGTTGTAGCAGCCCCGTGGGGTATGGTGTGTGACAGTGAGGAGAGCTGGTGGGATCCTGCACACAGCAGAGCAACTACAGCTCTCTGGAACACAGCTGTTATGTTGTAGAAATGCAGGTTTATACCAAAGGAGCAAGAGATGTTGTGGCTGCGGGATGAGAGAAGGGAAGAAAGTCACCTGGCAGGCTTTCCTCACCCAAACCACTGAAGACCAGGAAGCTGAATTGCAGCTCATGGACAACAGCATTCCCTTCCACAGAACTGTAAGGAGGGCTTTTTCCCATTGTTATGCAGAAAAAAAATACAAACATGTCATGTAATCGTGGAATGGTTTGGGTTGGAAGGGACCTTCAAAGTTCTTCAGTCCAACCCCCCTGTAATGAGCAGGGACATCTTAAACTAGAACAGATTGCCCAGAACCATGTCCAGCCTGGCCTTGAACATCTCCAGGGATGGTGCATCCATCACCTCTCTGGGCAACCTGTGCCAGTATTTTACCACCTTCATTGCTGCAAGAAAATTGTCCAGACCCTGATGGTTGTAGTAGCTCCTCTGCCACTCTACCAAATCTGTCAAAGTATTTGCACCGCCAGTAGAAGCTGCTACTGTAGTTGCTATGTTACAGTATTCTTTCAAATACCATAAGAAACCAATAAGGTAGTATTGGTCCCATAGCAAAAACACCCTATCAGTGATTTACGCCGCTGGAGTTTTCTGTACTGAAGTTTTGAATACTTTTGACAGTTTAATAAGACAAGAAAACAGTACATTTTGTCTGCACACATTTTTCACATTTTTATGAAGAACTTTCTTCATAGGAGCAGACTGTGTGTTCCAAAGCACAGAAGGGAAAACAGGACTTCTTTTAATTCTGCACCTGCTTTCTCCATCAACTTCTCTGAATTTTCCTCACCAAAAATCACATTTTTTTAATCTTGTCTTTACAAAGTAAAATACTGATGTCATTTGTACTTAAATAAATTGAAAAAAATCCTAGTGACAAAATTTATATTTTGGACACTAAAACTTCATCATATTAAACAAAAACTGCCCATTAAAACTTCAGTTCCAACATTTATACGTCAGGTTCACATCACTTCTGCTGAAATTAATTTATCCAAGAATCCTGTTCTAAATAAACAGATAATGTTTCTACTTTCATATGCATCCATGTATTAATGTATCCATTCTAATAATTAGACTATAAAAAAATATTCTACACTGTTGTGTTAACAAGCTTCATAAGTGCAGTGACAGTGCTGCTAAATTAAGTATATTTTGGGCTAATTTTATGTTTTGATCACAATACTGGAGAATTATTAGGAAGCTGTTATTTTGTCAGCTTTCTCATTTAACAAAGCAGCTTCAATTTATTAACAGTGTGGAGTGTGAATGAATCAATATGTTTCATTGGGCAATGTGTCATTTGTTAATCGGATATTGATGAGATTATTGACGTGCAGCTAATTAATCTCAAACTCTGTGCTAGCCTTCATATGTTTCCTTAATTATGTTCTTCATCTTAGTCTACCAACTTTGGCATGCAGACGCCGGCTTGTAGACAGTGAGTGAAGTAAGCTGTCAGAGGGTTTTTTCCACACATTTACAATCCCTTGGCAGCAAAATTATTTTCCGA